GAATGACACAGAAGAGAAGAGGTTGTTGAATAAAGTCGTTATTTTTGTTTTGTTTTTGCACACAAAAAATGTTCTTGTCGCTTCATAAAATTATTGTAGAACCACTGTAGTCACGTCGACTGTTTTAACGAAGTCTTTAGTACCTTTATGGATCTTGAAACTTTTGAGTGGCGTTGCTGTCAATGGAGACCTCTCTGAGCCATCGGATTTGATCAAAAATATCTTAATTTGTGTTCTGAAGATGAACGAAGGTCTTAGGGGTGTGGAACGACATGAGGGTGAGTAATTAATTTTCATTTTTGGGTGAACTAACCCTTTCATTTTGTGATAATGAACAATTGACTGTACGTTATCCTGCTTATTACATGGAAGTTAATAAACAAATTGACATGTAAAGAAATAAGGTAACTCAGGAAATTGTTTGCCTGGGACAGTGGCCATTATATAAACATTTTTGACAGCAAAATGTATTCTATTCAAATCAAGTATTCCAGATAGTCTTGTAATTAATTGCTCTAATGGACTGTGTGACTTTTGAAATATATTTTTGCATACCATTATTGATTTTGGAACATGCCAGTGAGTTACAAGTTGTACTTACTAGGGGTGGGAATCACAGGTTACCTCACGATACGATACGATACACGATACATGGCTCACGATACCGATAATATCATGATACAGCAATTCTGCGATAATCTATATATTTCTAGACAATCCTATAATGATACATCATGATATCTGTCTATGAAAACAAAATGCCTGTGAAAAGGTGCAGGTTCTCTATTCATTCAAATCCAAACTGCTGAAAATTCTTCAAAATTTGTGCAAAAATTTAAATTCTGTCATTTACTCACTCTCAAGTTGTTTTAAACCTGAATAAGTTTCTTTCGTCTGTTGAACATAAACGTTATTTTGAAGAATGTGGCTAACCGAGCAGTTGCTGGTCCCCAGTGACTTCCATAGTATTTTTCTTTCCTTCTATCAAAGTTAATGGGGACCAGCAACTGTTTGGTTACCCAAAATATCTTCTTTTGTGTTCAGCACAAGAAAGAAATTAATACAGGTTTGGGACAACATGAGAGTGAGTAAATAATTACATGCAAATAATGCAGTTCTTGCATATCGTATGCTTTGTCGATTTTGTTTGTCCCATCAATGGTATTAAAGCCAAGGTGGGTCCAGACTTTGGACTTAAACGTGGATGGGGCATCTATTAATTTACTCACACTGCTGTTCGCCATCCCATTAAAAACCTCTTTTTCTTAGGCTAGTTAACTTATGTTCACGTTTCCCTCATTCATGCATTGAGTGCCAGCTCGAGGAGCCATGAAGTAGCGGCACTGGGAGAAAGGAAATCTATATAGAGAGCCTTATTTTATTAATTAAAATATCGATAATTTGCGCCAGACTATCGATTCTCATATCGCACGGAGAAAGATAATGATATATTGCCATATTGATATTTTGTCCCACCCCTAGTACTTACATGTATATAATAATATAATAACTGTGGCTTCCCAATCAGAGCTCAACAGTGAGGTTTTTTTTCTCCTGCTTGCTGGGTCGGACCAGTAGTTAAGATTGGCCTGGCAATATTTAAGTGGCACCCAACACAATTTTAGATTTTTATAAAAAATTATAATTTATAGCATATATTTTATCATTTTTATTGGAATTTCAATTTATATTTTTATATTTACACTCACAATTTTTACACTTTTAATGTAACTTTTTTTGTAATTTTTTAATTACGTTATTATTATCATCTTTACATTATTATTATCTATTGCAATAATTTTTTTTCATAATAAATGATAGTAGTAATAATTGTATTAGAATAATAATAATAATACAAGATGTTTACAAATTATAAAAAGGTGTGTACAAAAAATTTAAGATATAGCACTGCCCCAGTGGGTCAAGTGACGGTTCTGTCAACTGGCTCAACTCCCTCCCACTGGCCCCGGGCCATCCTTACTGTTGAGCTCTACTAATAATAACCATCGTTAAAGCTCCCTTAATCTGCCTTCTTCCCTAACTGCCATCATAAAATAGAAATATGGGCTGTTTCTCTAATAAAGTACAATAAAGCACATTAAACATTAGAGCCCGTCCTCTGCACAGTTTCTGCACATTTCCCCTCTCACTCCTTCACTCACAACTGTCCTCACCCTGCCCCCCTCCTTCAGACTAGCAAAGACCCTCTGGAAGATGCAGAGCTCCGCTACGCACTCACAGTCAGCCAGAAGACTCACCAAAAGGTCAGGGAGCAAAAATTCATCCAGGTCACAGTGGATGAACCCTTCCTTTGCTATCCTCTTCCCTCTCAAATCACAGATCAGCCTGAAATAATACATACATCAGTTTGATCATGGAACTATTGAAATATCTAAGAAATATCTAGTAAGTGCTTTTAAAAAGGTTAAAAATTTCCATTGTTCTTTTGTGTTGAGCTTACCTCTTGTTAATCATTTCCGCTGTTTGAATTCTTCTGAACAAATTGTTGACTTTTGCATGATGAAACCAATGAGTAATTTCAAAAGTACCTATAATTCTCAGTAATCGTTCATTCTTTGTAATTCCACCAGAGCTTATCAATGCAAAATCAGAGTAGATGAACTGCCCTCTACTTCCAAATGTTGTTGATTTTTGTCTAACTCAAGCCGTGAAGCACAACTCTGAAGCTGGTGAGACATGGGAGTCAGGTTGCCACAGTTCATTAGACTCCATTTCCCATCAGCCCACAGAACTTGGTTCACTGTGATGATGTGACGGTGGTGTGTGATTGGCAGGAGGAGCGTCTGCGCAGGGGAGACGACCTGAGGCTGCAGATGGCCATCGAGGAGAGTAAGAGGGAGAAATCCAAGCCCGAGGAGGTGTGTGATTGTGTGCGATTGTGTCAGCAAGAGATCATGCTTGACGAGCTGTTCTTATAGGACGAGAGCGTGAGGTGTACACATGGTAGCGTGTTGTGTTACCGAGGGTTGCGTGTTTGTGTACCTGCCTCTCACTCTCCAAGAGTTACCTGCTCTGTCTGTGTCTCTCACCCTGCGTACGCGCTTTAGCACAACGATGTGTGTGAGCTTGTTTCACTTCCTCTAGAGTTTCCTCCTCCTTAACCATTTCGCCACACTAGCTATTATTGAACCACTTGCAAGTGTAAGTGTCTGTCCTCTCTGTACAAACAAGTTTCCCTCTCACACTTTTGCTTTCTCGCGCGCTCCTTTCCGATGAGGACGTTCTTATTGACATGTCTCTCTCTCAGTCGTCTCTGATGGAGTTGAGTGCCGTAGATCCATGGGGGGCTCCTGCGACGGGCTCCGCAGGACCCTCTCCTCCTCCCGCTTTGGCTCCTGCGTCTACCGCTGGGCCATGGGGCCCCGCTGACCCGTGGGGAGCCGCCTCCCCCGCCTCTCCCCCGAGTACTGACCCCTGGGGAGGAGCACCGGCAACAGTAGCCCCGGACCCATGGGGCGACTCGTCCTCTAGAGTGAACTCTGACCCCTGGGCGTCCACAGGTGAGAGTGTCAAGGATGTGTCCTCCCAGTGTCCTCTGTGTCTTTACCCTGGCTTTTCCTCTTTATTCGTGGTGTCCTCTCATCCTTGACCTTTCCTTGTATCCCCTCCAGCTGTGACCCCTCCAAGTGCCGACCCTTGGGCTCCCTCAGTGGCTCCGGCCCCTACCCCGCTCTCAGGGTCAACCGATCCCTGGGCAGCGGTAGGAGCTGCCCCTGCCACTGACGGTCTGACCTCTGACCCCTGGAGTGGCTCATTTAAACAAGCTAACGGCACAGGTATACTTGCGCATGTAAATGCATAGATGCACTTATCATAGGGGTGTCCAATCCTGGTCTGGCAGGGACAATGTCCTGCACTGCTTGGCTCCAACTAGTCTGAACATACCTGCTTGGAAGTTTCTAGTAATCCTGAAGACTTTGATTACCTTGGTTCAGGTGTGTTTAAATGGAGTCTGGAGCTAAACTCTGCAGAACAGTGACCCTCCAGGAGCAGGATTGGACACCCCTGTCTTGTCCAAAGATAAATTACATTGCCAGGGGTGCACATAAGTGGTCCGCAGGTCCGCATGCGCGGCCAAAATAAGAAATGCGCTGTGTAAATTAGTTCAGAGCGCGCATTTGCGTACCGACATGGTTGACATGCACAGTTACTATTTTAGATCGACAAACTACTGTATAAGATTTCTATTCAAACTGAATACGCCAAAATAGAAGCTTGCTGATTTTAAGTTTGAAAATGAAAAATGAAAATAATTCAAATTAAAAATAATAATTAAGGTTCAAATTAAAATAATAATAATAATAATAAAATATTAGCATTTTATTTTTAAGTTTACTATAAAATAATTGTATTTGTATTTAATACTCTTAATACTCTTTTAAATAAAATACTATTATCACACTTTATTATTTAGTTTATTATTTTATTTAAAAAAAAAACTAAATAAAGTGCAATAATATTATCAATATTATTAATTAATTTTTTTATAGTTATATTTGATGGGTCACACCATGTGCCGTGTGAGGACCAAACCAAATCCCCAGGTTATCAAATGAGAACCAGGCTGAAAAACTTATGTGCACCCCTGTACATTGCCTTAGACACAACAATGTGTTTGCTGGTAATTCTCACACATTTTTACTCTACTCTATGCTGCCCACACTGCAGCTGAAGAGGTTTTGTACTTTATACTGGTGTATTGACTCTTTGCTAAGCCCCGCCCCCTTGGCTACTCTTGTTCGTTTACACAGGCATTACGGAAGGTTTCACAGGATGATCTGGAGATTTCCAGAAATAAAATGGATAATATTGTTATGTGGGCTGGAAGGAACTGCAATGTTGAAGTGTTTTATCTGCTTTTTCTTGGGGAAATTTTTTTTTAATGAACTGTACATTTTCTCTATCTCTGAGAAACAACAGTGCAGAAGTCATTCATTTCCAATGGAGAGTAGATTGCAGATATTGGTTGATAGCATGTATGGCGCATCCCTAAATAAAATAAATAAATGCTTGGTAGTATTTGTCAGTAATGTGTTTAAGGCGGGGCTTAGCAAAGGATCAGTTGGACAGCAATCCTGTTTTTTTTTTGTTAGTCATAGATTGTATTGTTAAACCATTTACATGTAATTCTTTTTGCCTCGTTCTTTTTCCATTCACAGCAGATCCAGAGAGAAGAGGCTCCTCAGTGACAGGAGGTGATACTGGAGGTGGCGGCAGCACAGGCTCTCCGGTGCCCTTTGATCTTTCATCGCTCAGTTCCTCCTTGCCTGTTCGAAAAACACCAGAGTCATTCTTGGGTCCCAATGCTGCGCTCGTGGATTTGGACTCGCTATTATCATCAAAACCTAAACAACCACCACCGCCAAGCATCTCCTCCACATCTCACAACCCCTTCCTACAGACACAGGGTGTGAATTTAAAATAGACCACATCTAGAGAGGAATTATGTTTTGTTTAACCCTCTAACATTAGTTTTCTCCTTTTAATTTAGGTCCCTCCTCAACAGGTATGGGAGTTACTCCGGGCAGTACCATTTCCAGTAGAGGGGTGTCTCCGACCCCGCCTTCTGCTTCTAATCCTTTTGGCGCGACCCCGATGGCATCCATCTCCTCTCAACCTTCTTCGCTCAGTCTAAGCCAGCTCCGCACGAGCCCCATTCCCCAGAATCCTATGCTGGGTCACATGCCTCCACCAGCAGTGGGAATGGTTCAGCCGGGGATGGGCATGCCAGGAATGGGGGTCCCTATGGTGGCCCCTGGTATGGGCATGGGAATGGTACAATCCAGCTCAATGGGCATGCCTTTTGGTGGAATATCCCCCATGGGTCCTGCAGGAAATCCCTTGCTAATGGGCCCCGGAGGCCCTGCGCAGCCTGCACTGATTTTGGGCGGGCCGTCGGGGGTGGGTGGAGTAATGGGAACAGGAGGATCCATGGGAGGTGGAACCACAGGCGCAAGCACCAATCCTTTCCTTCTTTGAGAGATTTCACAAATCCCGTGTGCCCTGTCCACTCAACAACCAATCCAAACCTGCCCTACCAACACAAACAGTTTGTGTGTGACAAAAAAAAGAAATGTGTGTACATCTCTATATTTAATGAAAAAGTAAAAACAAAAATGTTATTTTCTTTCACAAAACAGCATTTCAAAAAAAAAAATTTTTCATTTTATTTTACACAGTATTTGAAGTCTATTTATTTCCCTATTAGTTCAGTTTTTTCTTTGACAGACATGGATGATTGGTGGGTTCATTCAATGAATGCAGGCTGTTAATATTGTTATATTATTAGGATGATTGTTATTGTTCAAAAACATGAAGATAAGGGAGGAGGAAAACAAGCCACTAATGAACTCAATCATACACCCCTTTCTCCCCCTTTCATTGATGACCCTCTGATGAAAGAGTGCATGAAGGATGACTGTGACAGTCTTGCCCTAAACAGACAGAAAAATTCAGTCTGTTTTATTCACAGCTCTAGTAAAAATCATTCAATAGATGTATTACTTTTAATTTAATGTGTAATCTTGTGTAATTTATTTTAATCGTATGTCTGACTCCTGGGATCGATTAAACCAAGGAAAATCGCACTGGAAATTGCCATTGAAACAGATGCCTGCTTGGTCTCCTTTGACCACCTGCGAAATTTCAGTCTACGTCACGTGGTACACATGAAGAGATGCTCTGTGTGTGTGTGTGTGTGTGTGTGTGTGTGTGCGTGCGCGCGCGTGTGTATGAGAGCGTGTATGATGTGTGCATTGTTTTCACTCGGTCCTCTGCTGTGCTTTTGATGGGGATTCATCAGCATAGTCTCACTTTCAGCACTCTTAACTTGTTATAAAGGTCCTTCTTTTCACACATTTATTTTTGCAGTCGTAAGAATCAAAGCATTAATTCGACACCTGTTCACATGAGAATCAGAGCTTGTCTTTACATTTCACTTCAGCACCTTTTTTCCTTGAACTTTTACACAGAAAATGGGAAAGTGTCAGCGCTTCTGAAACTGAGAAAGAATTATCTGAGTGATCGTATGTGGAAATCATATAAAATTGGGGACAGAATGACATGATCCATGCTGTTAATCTTTATTTACTTTGAATGAATTATTTTATATATGAAAATTTTAGAGATTTTTCTCTAATATTGGCTATGGTCAAAAATTGTGTGGTGTTGACTGTGAACATTCACATTGAAAAATAAAATGGAGGGAAAAAAAATCAAAGAAATTAAAAAAAAATAATAAAATAATTCCACAAAAAAAATTGTCCAATCTTTTTTTGTTGCATTGGTTTGCATTTAAATGGCAATTAAAATGATAGACATTACACATTTACTTTTATTATTTTTTTGTTTAATTGTAGACAGACGTTAGCTCCCCAAGGGGATTTGCCATGTGACAAAGTGTAATATAAAGCAATAAATGTAATAATTGATTTCAGTCAAAATACACCCATATGTATTGTCATAATATACCTCAGTGTACTGTTAAACTGCATTTATTCGACCACAAATTGTTAGTGTACATGCAATTTGTTGAAAAAGTGCAATTTAAGATAATTTCTTTGGTCACAAGTTCTTTCAATAACTATTGAACTGACTAAAGTGTCAGGAAAGCCTGTATCAACATTCAGCAAAAACCGAGCCATTGTCAACTGGCTAAAGTTTTGGAAATGCTAACGTTATTTACATTGTAATACGCTGACGTAAAAGGCAGCCTGGTGTGGATTGATCCACCCCAACGTTCAAGGTCTGGAGCAGTTCAGGAAAAAAACCTGAAAAATATTTTGCATTGTACATTTTGGTTAACCTGACAATTTGGTGCTGGTTATCATTTGTCTCCAGCACGTCAACATACAGTTGACTATAGCAGCACCATTGTGCCGTATCTATCATAAGGCAGAAGTGAACTGAAAGGAAGCAAACAGCTTAATGATGATCATTGTTACAATGGTGCTGCTTTTGTTCCACATACAAATGAAACGGGATGAATGGGTTAGCCTCACCTCCTTTTTGACAAGACTCATGCCTCAATAATTAGCTCATGTTTTCTTTACTGTGTATTTATATGTATATCGGCAAACTAAATTACTCAATCAATGAATCCCAATCAAAATCATCCTGGATTTCCTCACTGTTGCCTTTCTTGAAGTGTGGATGTCCTGTTGGGGTCAGTGGTTGAGTTTGAAGTGCTGCATAAAGACATAATGACATCATATTAGGATGCTTGAGCAATTCGACCAACATGGCAACACTCATTTCCTTTCTGAGTGACAATAGGGGCACTTAAATAGATCATACACAAAATGAAAAATCATTCATCATTTACTCACCCTCATGGCATTTCAAACCAATATCATTATCTTTCTTCTGCAGAACATTACAGAATATACTTTGAAAAATGTCTCAGTATTTTTTGTCTATACAATGAAAGTCAATGGGGCCCAAAACAGCATTTAGACCTGATTGACTTTCATTGTGTGGGTAAAAACAGTTCAAACTTTCTCCAAAACATCTTCTTTATGTTCCACAGAAGAAAGCAAGTCATGGAATGGTTTGAAACTACATTAGGGTGGGTAATCACATGACAGAATTTTCATTTTTGGGTGAACTATCCCTTTAAGTTTAGATGCACACTGGACCTGTAAGGATTTAAGGGGGCTGTCGACATACCGTTAGGAGTCAGTGGCTGGCTCGTGGTGGGCTGCAGTCCCGGGGATCTCTGTGCTGTCTGGTTCTGGGTGTGAGGGGTCAGGGTTCTCCTGGAACTTTGGATGGGAGGTTCACCAGTACCAGGAGGGAGTTGGGAGGAGTAGATGAGTGGAGATGGTTGAGTTAAACTAGCCAGGCTGGGAAGGTTAGTGGTCAGCATATTGATAGGAGGTGGGGCCATTTGTCCAAAAGAGGAGGGACCACCAGAAGATGAATTAATGAGACCCTTCTGAGTGAAGAATCGGTTGAGTGAATCACATAGCGAGGTGAAGAGCGTCGAATCCAACGCCCAGTCACAGAGCTCGGCCTGACGCATGCTCTCTACCAGGTCTGCATGAGAACAACACAGATAGAGACACTTAATAAATCTCCCCTACAGTGATGTACAGCAGTTTTGTAGTATTTGGATGCATTCATAAATGAACAAACCTTTAAGCAACATTACACACAGAATTTTTGCAAGTCCATACATTCAGATGGTTCATATTAATAAGCTGGTTCAGAAAATGCAACCATTATCCTTTTTTCGGCAAAATGAATATTTAGGTAAAAAGTGTTTTATTTTTTATTTTCTTCGATTCAGTTACATATACTGTAGGGTTCCCACACTTAATGACCAATGAATTTCCAAGGCCTTTTTTTAGTCGTTTGTGATTACAGAATAAGGATTTTTTTTTTTATTATATTTAAAGGAAAAACTAATATCTAGCCAAAGAAATATTTTAATAAAAACACTAACTGATCATAACTAGAAAAAAATTATATATATATATATATATATAGACTACCACTTAAATGTAAAAGTTCAAGAACAACAGTCACCAATACTCACCAAGGCTGAATTTATTTGATCAAAAATACGGTAAAAACTGTATTATTGTGAAATATTATTACAAATTAAAATAACCGTTTTGTAATTTAATATATTTTAAAATATAATTTATTTGCCTGTGATGGCAAAGCTGAATTTTCAGCATCATTACTCCAGTCTTCAGTGTCCCATGATCCTTCAGAAATCCTTCTAATATGCTGATTTAGTGCTCAAGAAACATTTATTATTATTATCACAGTTGCGCTGCTTAATACTTTTATTTTTGTTTGCTTAATACATTTTAATTTATATATAATATAAAATAGAGGTTTTCCAGGACAGTGCGGACCCTGTAGATAAATTAAAGTGTTGTTTTAATAGTTCAGTGTTTAGTGTAAATGCATGAGTATTAATAATATAAGTTAATGAATCATACATCCTTATAATTATGTATTTAAAAAGACATTTAATGGTTTCAGAAGTTAGCTACTGTATGTTTTTTTGTTGTTGCATGTAGTCTAGCAATTTTCTACCAAATGGTAGTTTGACTGTTTTTAACTACTTTCAATTATAAGAAGATTGCAACTTGCCAAGTTACAGTTTCAAAATAGCTTCCTATCAGTGCAAAATAGTTCTTCTGGATGAACAAATTCCAAAATGGTCACATTGAAACTAAACTGTAAATCCAGAGTGGAAAGTGAAAGCATGTTGTGCATTATAGATCTCAGTGTATGGTTGAGTACTGACCAGGGTGACTGGTGAGATCAATGTTAGCCCAGTCCAGACTGCTAGCAATTCTGAAACTCTCTCTCAAAGAGTCTGCGTTACTGAACCAATCTGCAGGAACAACTGAAACAGAGAGAGAATGAGAGGATCGGGTCATCAGGACACTCTCATCCCATCAACACCTCACTACTGAGCAGTTACACTCACCATTACTGTGTAGCAGCTTGTCAGGCTCAGTGTTGGAGTTTGGATGAATGTTAGAGTTCTGGCTTGGGTTTAGGTTGTGGATAAAACTAAAGTTAGTATTGGGTGTATTTGGGTTGAAGTTGCCATTGGTATTCATGTTTGGGTTAAGAGCAGGGGTGGTGGTATATTGGTTAATATTAAGGTTTGGACAGGGACAGGGGCAGGGGGAGAGAGCAGGCAGGGTTGGCGTGTGGAGCGGTGTACTGTCATGGGTAAGTCCAAGTAAATTGGCAACATCCGCTATGAGAGAGAGAGAGTGAGAGAGAGATTCTGAATCATTAAGCTTATACCGACTTGATTCTGAATCAAAATTAATTCTGAAATAAATGATAAGCTAAAGGAAAAGAGTTGCACAATCGATTTACTTACATTGTGAGGTGACTCTCTGTCTCACAGAGCGACAGAGGGACTGGAAGGAATTGTACAGATCTGGTAGGTTCAAATCAGCAAAGGAGAATCGGAGAGGGGGATCAGCATGAGGGTTTGAAGGAAGAGATGTAGCTATTGGGATGCTTGGACGCTGCTGCGGAAACAATGTTTGCAGAGATTAATTTGAGAGTTATTTGGA